CCATGTGGTCACCTCCGGGGCAGGCGGGAATTGAACTCATGCGGAAGCGGCTTTAGATTCTCAGTGCTGTGCTTTAACCCACTGCGCCACCAGGGAGGGCCTGTGTGTCACATTTTAAACATGTTTTGAAAATATGAAATAATTTAGTATTTTTTTAAAGATTGATTTATTTATGCATACAGAACTGGAGTACAGGCCAGAGGTGCAGGGGCAGTGAGAGAATTCACCAGATTCAGTGGGGAGCAGAATAGGCAGATGGACCATGCACACTGCTGAGGGGAGCAACAGGCCGGCCAGGAGAAGTCGCTGTGCCACGTGGGTCACTTCCTTGGCTGGGGATCAAACCTGTGAACTTGTGCTGAAGCAGCTGCGGCCAGGTTTGTAGGGCTGCGCTTTAATCTGTTGCGCAACCAGAAAGGCCCTAATTTATTATGTTAAAAAATTATTCATTTATTCATACAAGAACTGGAGTACAGGCCAGAGATATGGGAAGGTGAGAGGATTCACCAGAGACAAAGTGGGGAGCAGAACAGGTGGACTGACTGAGGTGAGCAGTGGGTGAGAACAGGAGGGGTCTGCAGCACCATGTGGGTTCTCTCCCCGCCCAGGGATCGAACTTGGGCTGCAGTGGCTGCTGATAGCTGCATAGTGCTGACACTTAACCCCTGAGCCACTGGCGAGGCCCAATTTAAAGTAAAACCATAGCTATAAAATAAGAGGAACTTAAAAAGATGAATATCAGATCTTCCAAAAGAATTTGTTAAGCCCTAGCACCTGTGTTTCATGTTAAATGTAAAAACATTCTGCTCACTTAGAAATCAAAATACATTTTGATACATAATGTTTATTCTTCCTCCAATTTTATTCTTGCTTATCTTCATTTTGGAACTGTAAGTTTGTGAGAAAAGTATACAAATAAAATCTTTGGAATAGCAAATGACAAATTTCAAATTTTTAATAAACAAAAATGTTTTCTTCCCAAATAGTAAATATCCAGAAATGAAAGCACAGATAGTAGTCCAGTATAGGACACTCACAGGAAAGGGTGGTTATATTTGGTGGTAAGGCATTTGTTTGCAGTATAAAGCACAGCACCAAAAAGCAACAGACCTTTGTTATTTGAAAGAGTACAGCTTCCCCCAATTTCCTCAACTGAGCAGAAGCTTACCCTTCATGTAGAATTTTGGCATCCAGAGCAGGCCCCAGGAAAGGTCTGAGCCAGCTTAATCTCTAGGCTGGAGAAGAGTGTTCTCTTCAGCCAGGAGGCAGCCTTTCCATAAAGGGTATGGAGAGCATCCCCAAGTCTTCAGGCAAGCATGGCATCTGGGCTTCTGGGGGCTTCTGGCCAGAGCACTCATCCCAAGGACCTCCTTCCAGGGCCCAGGCAGTCCTATGGGGCTCTGTGGCCCCTGGGAGTCCCTGATCCTCCCCTACTGACCTCCAACTGGACTGGCCTCACCAGGCGCTGCGGGGCCGCAGGTTGGCCCCTGAACAGGGTGAGCCTGGCTGGGGGAAGCTGAGTCTGGCACCCAGGTGCCATCCTGGGGTGCGAAAGGACCTGCCCTGCTGGTCCCCAAGCCTGCCTTGTTTTAGGTTATTTTGATAAAGAAAATAATAGAATGGTGCCCTCCTTGATGGCACAAGGGCTAAGTCTTGGCACTATGAAGCTATCACAGCCACTGCAGCATGAGTTTGATCCCCACCAGGGAGGTGACTCACATGGCGCGGCAGACCTCTCCTGACCTGCCTGCTGCTCCCCTCAGCAGTGTATTTCACTTCATCTGTCTGTTCTGCTCCTCACTCTGTCCTTGGTGAATCCTCTCACCCCCTTCCACCTTTTGGTTTCTACCCCAGTTCTTGTATGCATAAATAAATAAATCTCAAAAAAAAACTATAGAATGGATATCCTACTCATTCTAGTAATTCCTAGAAAAGTGGCATTTGGGGTCTATTCGTGTTCTCTCTCATAACCCTCACTCCATGAGAATATGTGAGTCAGTGGCAGAACTGGCATTTGAATTACAGCTGATGACTCTAGAACCTGTGTGTTGTGTTAGATTATAGTGTCATAGAGAGTACTAGAATGATTTTATGAAAACTAATGCTGTTTTTTTTTTCTAGACGGCCCAACTCCAAAGCTTAAAACTGATGACTACTACTCAGCAATGCAAGAAAGACAGTAAGCTATTGTAGCCTGTCCATCCTCATTCTAGCCACTGATTTGAACTGATAGGTATCTTTGTGCATTTTTTACTTTGTTTTTGCTATCATAGAGGTGAAGTGTGACCATGTGACACCCGAAAATGCATCTTTACATGAGGACAATAACTCTAGTGTTAAAGTAGATGACGTGATTGAAATCTTCATTTCACCCAGCGATGATCAGGAATTTTCTCCTCCGGACTTTCCATCACCTGCACCTCTTCTAAATCCTCTCCAGCCTTTAGGACTTACAAAAGTAAGTCCTACTTTCTTTGAGTACCCTAAACTTATTCAGTACCATCCACCAGATCAGAAGGATGAACAATTTCCTAGACAGAAATGAAGGTCTTTAAGATCACAATCGAACACAAGTGTCATAGCAAGAGAAGTAGATAGAGGGTTGAGATTATCAAGATTGTTGAAAGTAAGCACTGTGAGGGATGCCTCTGTAGAATGGAAAGTCTAGAAAGACAACCAGATGAATAAGAAGCTGAGGAGGATGAAAGGAAAGAGTTCACTTAAGAAGGGCAAGGCATATATAAAGATTGAGTAAGAGGCCCTCCCTGGTGGTGCAGCGGGTTAAAGCACAGCACTAAGAAGCTTAAGCCTCTTCTGCATGAGTTTGATCCCCGTCTGCCCCGGAGGAGATACACATGGCGCGGCAGACCTCTCCTGACCCGCCCGCTGCTCCCCTCAGCTGTGTACTTTGTCAATCTGCCTGTTCTGCTCCCCACTCTATCTCTGGTGAATCCTCTCACCCTCTGCTTCTCTGGCCTGTACCCCAGTTCTGTATGAATAAATAAATCTTAAAAAAAAAGATTGAATAAGAGAGTCCAAATGAGAGACTTACTATTATAAAAACATGACATTAAAAAACCAAGTTGTATAGGAGACATTTTGCAAAGGTGGAGTTGGGAATGGGATAAAAAATGGGTGGGGGTAGTGGTGGGGGAGAAGTGCACTGGACTGTAGTGATGGCACACAGGTGATCTGATGATGGGAAGCCCGCAGGGATTACAACTGATATGGGAAGAGGCACAAAATGATGTAAAAATAAACTATTATATTTAAAAAAAATAAATAAATAACCAAGTCGTGAGGTTGAGTGAGAGCAGGAACTCTGTATTATAAAAAAAAAGAAAATAGGATGGGCATTATTGTAAATGACAGTTCGGACAAGAAGGCTAGGAAATGAAAACAATGCCACACTTTCTAAAAATTGATTGATGCATACAGAACTGGGGGACAGGCCAAAGGTGTAGGGGTGTTGAGAGGCTTCACCCCTCAAGAGACAGAGCGGGGAGCAGAGCAGGCAGAATGACAAAGTACACTACTGAGGGGAGCAGCAGGCGGGTCAGGAGAGGTCTGCCGTGCCACGTGGGTCACCTCCAGGGCTGGGGATCGAACTCGTACTGCAGTAGTTGCCACTAGCTTCACAGTGCTGCACTCTCATAAGTGACTTGCAGCCAGATGAATTGCTGCCATCATGAGGTGGTGACTGAGGGCGGCAGTTGGTAGCTGAGGACAGCACAGTCCCGAGAACCACTGTGCACACCAAAGGCCATTTCTGGGGGACTCTTAAGTGTCCTACTGTTTGCTTAACTTAATTTACTTAACTATCTTAACTGTATCATATAATTGGTGTAGTTGTTTTGATCTTTTTGAGAATAAAAAGAGAGGAAATAAGAAAGCCTTTGATTTAGTCTTTTCATTAATTAAAATTACTAGGTAAATGAGGTTCTTTATCTACTAAATGTGACAACGAATTTTTTTTTAAATAAAATATAGAATTATGTTTTGCTGGAAGACACAATATAGAATTATGTTTTATTGGATGGTTTTTTTGTTTGAGATTTACATATTCACACAAGGACTGGGGTACAGGCCGGAGGTGTGGGGGAGGTGAGAGGGTTCACCAGAGACAGAGTGGGGAGCAGAACAGGTGGATCTACAGAAACACACTGCTGAGGGGAGCAGCAGGTGGGTTAGGAGGGGTCCGCTGTGTCATGTGGGTCAGCTCCCTGGACAGGAATTGAACTCATGTTGCAGTGGCTGGCAATAGTCTGATAATGCTGTGTCTTTAACCCCTGCATCATCAGAGAGGCCTCTGGAGCGATTCAGATTTCTCTTTTGCTAACAGTATTTGTATGTACTGGACAGATGTATATATCTCAAATGAATGAAATCACAGCTTGAGACTCTTTTCTAATAAAGCTGCTTATTGTAGAACCATTATTGAAAGGAAAGATTTCAACAAAGTATGCAGAATGAACTCTGGAAGTTGACTTCTGCTTTCTACATATTATTCTATATTATTTGTATATATAATATTTCCAGCAACATAAACATTTCATATTATTCTCAGGAAACATTATTAACCTTAGAATTCCCAGTTATTAAACATAACATGTCAATTCTAATCTGCAACTCAGAAGCCCCTGACTTGATTGTCCCCTTCTTTCCTTATGCGAATGTTGGATCCTGATTGATAATTGCAGATATATTTAAAGACATTTTTAAAAAGATTTATTAACAAGCCAGAGGTGCAGGGGCAATGAGAGGATTCACCAGAGACAGACTGGAAAGCAGAACAGGCAGATCAGCAAAGTATACTGCTGAGGGGAGCAGTGGGAGAGACAGGAAAGGTCTGCTGCACCATATGAATCACCTCCAGGGCTGAGGATAGAACTCCCACTGAGCGGCTACAGCCAGCTTGCCGTGCTGCGTCCTAACCCATTGTGCCACCAGGATGGGCCTATTTTAAAGACATTTTAACCTTCACTTTGGCTATCAGTTTTATTAATTTTTTTATGCTAGACCCTTTCTCTACTCTTTGCCATCCTATGTGGACAAACATAAAATTAGAGAGATCTGTGTGTTGTTCACAGGGGAATAAAAATGCGAAATTAAAAAAGATAATAATATAATAGTTCATTTTTACATCATTTTATGCCTTTTTCCATCTCAGATGTAATCCCTGTGGGCTTCCCATCATCAAATCACCCATGTACCATCACCATAGTCCAGTGCACTTCCCTCCCCCCACTGTTTTTGATCCCATTCCCCCACAAAATGTCTCTGGTATATAGTTGCTCATTATTACCATTATTTTCTCCCCTGGTCCTTTATACTCCTGCTATGAGTGAAACCATACAGTATTTTTCCTTTTCTTTCTGGCTTATCTCACTAAGCATGACTTTTCCAGCTCCATCCATGTTGCTGCAAAAGGCATGTGTTGGTTTTTTTGATTGCTGAGTAATATTCCATTGTGTGTATGTACCACGTCTTTCTAATCCAGTCATCTACTTTTGGGCATCTAGGTTGTTTACATGTCTTTCCAATTGTAAATAAAGCAGTAATAAACATGGGGGTGCAGGTATCTTTGAATCAGTGTTTTTGTGTCTTTTGGGTAGATACCTAGGAGTGGGATTGCTGGGTCGTGGGGAAGCTCCATGTTTAGCAGTTTGAGGAACCTCCAAACAGTTTTCCATAGTGATTGGACTAGTTTGCATTCCCACCAGCAGTGCAGGAGAGTTCCTTTCTCTCCACATCTTCACCAACATTTGTTGTTGCTAGTTGTTTGAAGATGTGCCATTCTCACTGGGGTGAGGTGGTATCTCATTGTGGTTTTAATTTGCATCTCCCTTATTACGAGTGATGTTGAACATTTTTCATATGCTTTTTCATATGGCCATCTGCATTTCCTCTTTGGAGAAGTGTCTTTTTAGCTCTTCTGCCCATTTTTTGATGGGGTTGTTTATTTTTGTTGAGTTTCGTCAGTTCTTTGTATATCTTTGTGATCAATTCTTTATCACTAGTTGTGTGTGAGAAATTTTTTTCCCCAGTCAGTGGGCTGTCTGTTTGTTTTTTTCGTAATGTCTCTTTTGCTGTACGTCCCATCTGTGTGTCCTTGCCTTCACTGTCACTGCATTGGATGCTGTATGTTGTGTATGTCTTTGCTTCCATGTATCTTTGTTTCCCTTCTTATGTCTAGGTCTTTAATCCACTTTGAGATGATTTTTGTGTATGGTGCAAGGTAGGAATCAAGTTTCATATAAAAATGCCAATTTTAAAATAACATTTTGTACTTCTTCCTTACATCAGCATAGTCCTTCAAAATGGCACTTAATTCAGAATCACATAATGAATCCTTGGTCAGATAAGGATTTTTCTTTTGTAATTTAAAACTTTTCATAAGATTTTTAAAGATTAAAATTTAGAAATATTCTGAAAAAAAATGTGAAAAATGATGTAAAAATAAACTTTTTAATAAAAAAAAATTTAGAAATATTCTTGGCAGAGAGCCCTTGTGGAGGGTTGTGGGTGGGGGGGCTGTGGTGTGACATAAAACCTGAAAGGTGTGATCCTAAACTTCTAAATCATATGCAGTGTTATAAACCAGTGTTGCCTCAATTGAAGGCAAATAAATAAGTTGGAAAGAAAAAGGGAGGTGGTCTTTTAACATCTTGAACTGGTTAAAACTTTAAAAACTTAAAAAAAAAAAAAAGAAGCACATTGCTATAATATTCCAGAAGTGAGTATTTGCATAGACTCAGAAAGGTATATTTTGCAACAAAGTTAGAAAAATATGTGATCGAAAAATTGAATTCCATGTTTTCGTTTTCTCCCCTGCTCTTATTTTTATTTTCCATATTTCAGAGTTTTGTGTAAGTTTGCATTATTTAATTCTACAAATTTAGTATTTTCACAAATATAACATCGCAGGACGCAGTAAGTTCACCGCTCTTGCTCCAAATACATTTTTCCAAATCTCTCTTCTAAGTCCTATGGGTGCCTCAAATTTGATGGGTTCTGAACGGAAGTCACCATTCCTTGTGACATTTTTTTCTTTCCTGGCTCTTGGTCCTTTACTCTGTTTTTTTTCCATCCTAGAAAATGACCACTCAAATCCCGAAAAGGCCCCGCACTCGCCCCTCCCTGGAAATCACGCAGTCCAGCCCCAGCAAGTCCGTGCTTCCAGCGCTTACCCGTGTCCCTACCGCAGAGCCTAGAACCGTAACTCACTCCGTCACCTGCAGCTCTGAGCTGCGCTCTTCCAGTTTTGCTCTCACTCTGTGACACCAAATTGCCACAGTAACCAAAACAGCCCTGCTGATGCATGCTGTGCCTCTGCTCACCTACTGGCCGCTGGCAGGAGGGGAGAGGGCCTGTGCTAGAGGAGCCTGCTCTCTGGGGGTTGTCCCTGATTCTCGGCCATCACCTTCCCCACCACCTTCCCCACACTCTGGCCCGGGGTCCCCACATTACTCCCGTGCTCACATTTGCTGTGTTTCATACCTCGTTTTTTTTTGTTCTTTTTTTGTTGTTTGCTCTTCCTGCCCCTTCTGGAATGCCCGTCACCCCTCCCCTCTGTGGTTTCTCTTTCAAGAAACAGCTAGCTCACTCTTTGCAGCATTTGCTGAGCTTCCCGGGGACAGTGGCATGCTCTGGCCTTTGTGCGCTGAGGTACTTTATTCAGTTCTGCTGTGGACGTTGTGAGTGCGCCTTTCTGTTCTCATTTGTTTCCCTGCACCTTCGCCCCTCCTAAACAGAGGGCAGAATCCATCTGTACCTAGTCCGAGCTGCTCCCAGGTGAGGGCTGTGATCTGACTGATATAGTAAATCTTTGTGGTACTGACTGACTAAGTGGATGAATGAGGCTTACTAAAGTTGGGATTTTGTTTTGTTTTTATAGGAAGGAGCCACAGAGCCAGTCATTGGGAAAAAAGAAGAGCTTGGCAGTGAAAGTGCTCCCCAACAGCAGGCTGATAACTACAACCTGACTCACCTTGAGGGAAGACACAAAGATAGTAGACATGGTAAGTGAATGAATGTCTCTGAACATTGTCCTGTGTGTAAATGGTAATATAAGCAAATCTAAAGTGTAGTTCTAAATATAGCCTCTACATCCTTTAAATAATTTTCTTCCACTAGCTTTCTTCATCTGCATCCCAATTACTACCAACTTTCACTTCCTGAAGATCACCTGCCCTCTGAAGTTCCTTTCTGCTCTCATTTTTATTTAGTTGAAATATTCATGAATGCAGAGAGACTTATATGTGCTGTTTTAAAATATGTGATTTTAAAAAAATGTTTATTTTTACATTATTCTTCATTTTGTGCCTTTTTCCATCTTGGTTATAATCCCCGTGGGCTTCCCACCACTCATTCACCTGCGTGCCATCACCATAGTGCGGTGTGCATTCCCTCCCCACCCCACTTTTGATCCCGTTCTCCCCCCCCCACCAAACCTCCCCCTCCATAAAATGTCTCTGCTATATGGTTGTTCATTGTTTTTCATTTTTTCTTTATTGCAATTGCTTTTCCTCCCTCACCCTGGTCCCTTATGTTCCTATTAGTGAAACCAATTGCATATGCTTTTAAAATGCACATAATCAGCGTTCTCTTGTATGACTCTGACTGCATTTTCTAGACATTATGTCAGCATTAGGATCAGAAGAGGAAGATGTACAGTCACTTTGGGATCTTGAGGTACTGTCTTCTTTTAGCATCATTTTTAAATATAAGCGCTGAACAGTTAAAAGAAGATGCTTTGACTTAATATTGTCACCCCTGTATTTGCCATAGAATTATTTCCTCATAGACTATAACCAATAATTAATAAAATAATTATGTGTTAAAATACTACTACATCCTACAAGACTGCTAATTGGAAAGATTGAATTAATGAAACCAGTATCTAGTACCATAAGACTAAGGCTTCGCTGTCATGAATTAAGTTGATCTAAAAATGAAAGAATTTTTTCCTCGTCAACCTATGGCAAAATTCATGATTCTTTGTTAAACATGATTATGGTAAAACAGCTAGTGATTCAGAGAGAAACAGCTTGTATTGTAGCTTTTGCAACTTGTTTCAAATGATGATGCTTGAGTCTTGAATGTATGATTTTATCTGGATCATCGAGTAGCTCCGCAAGGAAACTTTCAGGACAAAGAAATGCACAAGAAGTGGTGATAAGCCTGTGGGATTATAACAACAACTTGATTGAGTCCTGCATTAAATGAAAGGCATTTTGCATAGTTTAAGTAGAGGGCATTGAGTAGCTGTACGACAGCCACACTTGTAGTAAAGTTCGTATAGTGTAATGATGGCCCACCGTAGGTGACAGGTGTGGAGACGGGAGCAGGCCAGCTCCCTTAGCGAGCGTTGGCTTCTGCATAGCCATCAGCACACATTTGAAGTCAGAAAAGATTTGCCTCCTGGCTTTGTCATGTACTGGCCACAGGATGTTGGATAGTTTGTTGACGTGGTTTGAATGAATGTCGGTGACCGCACTTGTAAACTGATAGACATGCCTGCCATCCAGGTAGGGGTAAGGAGCAGATGTAGTAACACCTGTCAAAGCACTGAGGAAGATCTAAAGGGTACATAGACGATGAAGACAATATGATCACGGTAATATTTAGTGACTTCTAAATATGAGGACATCTCTTTTAAAACCCAAAGGACAGCAATATGAAAAATGGAAAAGCTAAAACAGGCACTTGGATTTCTATTTTGGGGTCTGTTTAGTTTGAGTGGGCTATTATATAAGTGTAATATACAAGCTAATAGAATAGGAAATCTGAATAGTGTCTTTTTCTGGTAAAGAAATTTAAACTGTAGTAAAACAGAAACAATAAAATGTCCTCACGATTAAGATTCCAGTCCAAAAAAAACCTCACTAATAACATTTCCAAACATTTTAGTCAGACATTCTAATTTATTCCTCTGAATAGAGAAAAAAGGAAAATAAGCAATTAATTTTATGATACCAAGCCCTGTTCCAGGATATTTCAAAAAAGAAAACTTAAAGTCCAGTTTGTCTTACATGCTCAGATGCAAAAATCCTCGAGAAAATGGCCCCCAAATTTGGGTTTATTCTGGGAAGGAATAGACTGTTGCTTGATTATAAAATAATGTAATTCATCACATGAATAGCATAAACAGGTAAAAAATCAATCTTGGGTCCTCCCTGGTGGCCCAACAGCAATTCCCCTGCAGGCCAGGGAGCTGACCCACAGGTGCAGCAGACCTCTCCTGTTTCCCTTTGCTCCCCTCAGCAGTGTATTTCAGTAGATCTACCTGTTCTGCTCCCCATTGTCTCTGGTGAATCCTCTCACTGCCCCTGCACCTCTGGCCTGTCCCCCAGTTCTATATGCATAAATAAATAAATCTTTTTTAAAAATCTATCTTGAAAGGTGCAGAAAAAACATTTGACAGCATGTGAGCCCTGTATTTGAATTAAAAATGAGTCCTACTGGACCTCCCTGGTGCGCAAGGGGTTAGGACTCAGTACTGCAAGCTGGCCACTGCCACATTAGTGCGAATCTGATCCCCAGCCCTGGAGGTGACCACTTGGTGCGGCAGACCTCTCCTGACCTGTCGGCTTTTGTAAAAAGTCCTAGAAAATAAGTCTCACTGGAGATTTCCTCCATTGAGAAAAGCATCTACAAGAAACAGTGTGCTCTGTGGTAAATGATAAAAGTGTCCCCTAGAATTGACAAGGGGAGAACAATATTGGTCTGAGGTCACCAGTCCTGTTCACTACATTACTAGAGGTGCGTTTGCTCAGCCACCCCAGACCTGGAGCATTTCAGGATTTGGCAACAGCTCAGGTCTCTGATGTCACACACCCATGTCTCATGACCATTGCGCTCCCGGTGACACAGGCCTCCTTTCTACCTCTGTCTTCTGTTGCCCCAATGTCACTTCACCTCTCTCCATGTATTTCGCACCAAACAGCATGGGAAAGATTTGTCATAGCCCATCAGAAAACCACTGGGCAGGAAGGCAGAACATTTGCATCCCACTGTCCAACAGCGTCACTCCTGTGCATGCCTCGGAGAAATGTACGCCTGTGTGCCAGGAACAATCAGAACAATGTTCATAACAGCACAGGTCTTTTTTATATTATGGAATATGATCTTTTTTTTTTTTTAATGGTTGAATGGGTTATACGTTGTCATACAATAAAGCATACTGTCATCAAAATAAGTTGATATCAGCTCCCATTTATTTATGAAAAGAATAAAAATACTTTAAGGATATGGTAAATAGTCTCTCTCTCTCTTTTTTTAAATAATATAACAGTTTAATTTTACACCATTTTGTACATTTTTTAAAAAATCTCAATTGTAATCCCCATGTGTTTCCCATCACCGAGTCACCTGTGTGCCATCACCACAGTCCCGTGCACTTCCCTCCCCACCCCGCCCTTTTTTGATCCCATTCCCCACTCTACCCCCACAAAATGTCTCTGGTATATGGATGTTCATTATTATTATTTTCTCACCTGGTCCATTATACTCCTGCTATGAGCGAAACCATCCGGTATTTTTCTTTCTCTTTCTGGCTTATCTCACTAAGCATGATCTTTTCCAGCTCCATCCAAGTTGCTGCAAAAGACATGTGTTTCT